GTCTTTGCAGCCTTCTATATTATGCTACCAACTTCAACTTCTTTTAGTCATCGTCTTCCTCCTACACATTACAAAACAGTGGTTAGTACAAAAGCTCATGTTAAGAAATGAAATTACTTCTTCACACTAAAAGCTATTTTACATGTAAAATGATGAACATAGCTTATAAAAAATCAAACACATACCTCTTCACTACCATCCTCTGCGTCATCTTCATCGTTAACCTCTGACACAGACTTGTCGGATTCTTCATCTTCCTTTGGACCTNCCTCCTGAAACACACAATCACACCATCATTGGTCAACAACTATCATTCTTCATTAACGAAATTACCAGTTATTTGCATTCATCGTTGATCAGTTAACACAACTCATCCTTCAATCATGCAATTAGCAGTAGTATAAACATAACCAATCCTTCAACGTATAAAGAAGCAAATAAACCACCAATTACCAGTTTCTTGTTGTAGGCTTTCATGTTCTTCTCATAATCAACCTTGCGCTTGTCAGCCTTAGCAACGTAGGGAGCCTTCTCCTGAATTATTGTTCAAAATACCACAGAGGTTTAAGCATACACACACACATAAGCCACATTCAAGATCAAAACACAACTAAGCTATGGAAAAACGTACAGCATCCGTCAGTGATTTCCACTTTTCACCACCAGCTTTCCCAACCTGTTATCAATAGAAACTGATCATCAAATTCAGCTTCAAATACCAAAGGCTACTACTGTATAATGAACGAGTCAATGAAGTTTTAAAGATGGTGAAACAAATCACACTCACAGCAGCAACAGATTTGTTCTTGGGGTGTTCCTTCTTGTAAGTCTCACGGAAATCTTCCCTTCAATTCACAAAAATTATCAAATCAGGAATACTAAATTGGATTTACACAGTCAACGCAAAGTGTTAGCAAAGGATCACATCCAGAACAAGTTTCAGGAAGAATTATAACATCAATATGATCAGGCATCTTTCACTCAGATTGATGTAAACTTCTAATCGCAAGAGAGTTTAGTAAATGGTAACAAAGGCAGATTCTACACTTCACACATCAAAAATTAAGAAAGAAAAAAATTGGATGTGATGATTACATGAAAACGAAGAAGGCACTGGAAGGCCTCTTAGGTTTGTTTGGATCCTTAGCACCAGCTTTGGCTGCCTTAGTAGGCTTCTTGTTCACAGCGAGCCTATTTTATCACCGCAAACAAAAATTCAAGTAAGAAACGATTCAATAAACAACAAACGATATGAACACGATCTGAGAAATCCCTAGATCTAGGAATTAACTAGAAGACGACCAAAAAAAAAACGGACGAATCGAATCGATCTATCGAGCTGAGACTTACTTAGTGCTCCTGGTTCCAGCCTTTGATTTTTCTCCTTTCATGATCGATTCTGAGAGCAAAATCACTAGATCAGCGAACAAAGTAGTAAACAGGAAACGCAATCGAACAGAGAATACGATCAAAAACAGTAAACGAAGAGAATATTCCGTTCTAAAAAAAACGAAATACAGATTGAGACGCAGAAAATCGAACGGAAATCGTCATGAAAACTGGAAAATCGGAGGAAATTACCTTAAAGACGAAGAACGTAGGGTT